TTTTTAAATTACTTTATTTTGCCCTCATAAGATATTCAAGGCAGATATAATTAATTTTTCTAATGAGCATTTGTCCCAGATAGTCTTATGTTAGACCATAGTCTTACGTTATGCTGCATTCAGCTTGGCTTAGGGAACTCACCTAGGTCCCTCTAGTGCAAACACTTACACCCCCAAGGTCAGTAGGTGAATTTCTACAGAGAGAGAGCAGTATTTGCAGTGTCAAAGTCTTATTCTTCTAAACTGTGTCATTGACTTTAATGGAAGTGACACATTGAAAGCCCTGGGTACGTAAGGTAGAAAGGGAAAACGGAGATGCATCTTATTATACAGCAAACAAGCAAGACTAATTGGCTGCCTAGCCTCAGATATAAGAAATTTGGGTTCTAGTAGCTTATCTGCTTGGCTCAGCATGAGCTGGGAAGAAAATAAAATCTGAGTCAGAAAGAATGGGGTTGCGAACACACAAAAACAAAGCTGAAGGTTTGAGCTGAACCCAGCTGTTTCTGACCCAATTCCATTTTTCACTGCACCATTAGTAAGGCTTTGTATTTATTCCAAAATGGAATGAAAAACCAATTTGCAAACCCCAAAGCCCAGTCATCCTCTGCTCAGCACTGCTAAACCCAGAAAGTTGAGAACCTTCAACTTCCAATATGAGTGATGGATGTCCCTCTGCCTCTCTAAGGACTGGGCCTGTGGCTTATAATGGAAAAGGAAATTTTGCACAAGAACAGCCCCTAGGGTCTGGTGAAAGCAGGCATACTAGACTGGACAGCTTATACCTCTGTAGTAGATAGCAAAGTTTGATTCCCACCAGTGGCATCACTCCACTGAAGAAGGACAGCCAGCATTTTAAAGCTGGTACAAAGTGAAGCATGGCTGTCTATAAAATCAGCTTCTAATCTAGTGTTAGAAAACACTCGCTGATTTATCTCAGCTAAGGATAAGGCTCACAATTTTCTGTTGAAGATTTATTTCTCTACCTTGCTGTTCATTTTCCCCACCTTCAAGGCAGACGGGGATGTGAACTGTCTTAGGTTCAAGCTTTAGTAGACTTTTCTAACCTGTGGGGTTGGGGCCTGTTTAAAATTGGCAGGGAATGGTGTTCTCTAATCCCCTGTTATTAATCTTCAGTGATTTGTTAGCCTACGTGTAGTGACAGGTTACTCTAAATGTGTTTTAGAAACCTCCCCTCCTTAGCATATAAATCTGTGGACCCAATGAAACGTTCTTGTCTGTCCTTGTTTAACCGTTATTTAAGGTTTGGGCCTGATTCAAATGGGTGCATGGAACTGACCGGCACTACCTTGCTCTGCTAGGTTTTAATGACCATTTCTGACAAAGGTTTTCATGCATTTACATCAGCTACTGGTCTTTTAAGAAGTGTTTATTTTCTTGGGGAGAAGGCGGAGCCCATATATTAGTGCACCTAATTGAACAGAAGATTACAAGGCATTTATTAAATATGAACAGGATTGTTCTGTGATGTGTTTGTTTGCTACTTTCTGGCTCCGTCTGCATCAGAGCAACAGCTTGACATTAACAGCAGCTTTAAAAAATGCAAAGCAAGGGTGAAACAATTTCCAGAGCCCTGTTTAGAATTGTAAAGCATGAGCTAGCGATGGCTGTATAAAACCTTATTAAGACTGATGCTATATACAAGTCAACAAGACTGAATCACAGAGGAGCTTGCAAACTGAGTTCCTTGGTTAGACTGGCAGGGAATGGATGCTAAGCAAAGCCTATATATTTAACAGGAGATTTGAGTTTGCCAAGCACAAAGGTTAGCTTCTTTCAACAAGTCACCAGCTACTCCACTTCCTAATTTACTCCACCTTCAGGGGTTAGCTCATAGCTACTGCTTGACTGATCTGGAAAATCATATAACATTATTGGGAGTCACCAGTTAGTATTTATTAGGGGAATTTTACAAGTTTGTTTGAACTGAATGTGGAGCAGCAAAGGACAGATCCACGGACAGACTTTAGTCTGCAAAGTTGAACTTAGGTGTGGAAAGCCAAGAGTGTGCTCCACAAAAATCCTAACTGCTTAGGTGCTTGAGAGTATAAGGGTACCAAAATGTATACGGGTACCAAAAATAATACATTTCTTTTTAAACCCCAACCTAGGATCTGGCTCTATAGTCTTGCATCACTTTGCACCAGTTTCAAACCACTGGATCTCTTACTTCACTGGTGTGACTCCAGGGTTATACAGGTGCAAGTGGGATGGAGATCAAAGTCTTCTCTCAGTGACGTGTAAAAACCATCCGGTCTAACTGAACCATGTATTTGATTTCAGGGCCAAGCAGTGTTCTGACACACCAGGCTTGTTCCGCACATGCTACGATAGCCTGAAAGGGAAGCCGTGCAGCTGCCTTCATGCAGCCGTCTGCTGAGAGGCATGTAACAGCCAGCACCACACTGAGGCAGCTACACGATCTCCAGTTCAGAAGACTGCACCTGCCGAGCAAATGTAGCATGTCTTGGTATGGTGTTGCCTGGCGCTGTAATTGAGAACTTACATGGCCTAAAGTTGTACAGCTGTGCATGCCCAGGGTGGTGCTATCTTGGCTGAGCCAAGCTTTTCTGTGCTTTTCACATGCTGGGGACATTTGAAGTTTACAAACAAACTAAGTATCCTTTCACTTAAAGGTCCCTAACAGCACTGCTTTCTGTCAGCATCTAGATCTGGGCCCAAGCTTTTTCCTAGGTGAAATTGTTTCACTCAGAGCAGGGGAAATCGTTACAGTTCGGGAGATTACAAGCATTCAGAAACATGATCTAAGCATTTATTGAGCCCCTGGTATTTGTTTAAACCAAAAGAAGATCTGACTTGTTTTGTTTATAGACTGTGGACTTAAAAAAAATCCCCTTATGGATGTTATGGACTTAAAAAAATAATGAACAAAGGCTTCTCTCTATTAATTACTGTCCTGCTATTCTGGTCCCTCTAGTAAATACCTTGATTGGGCTCGCTCTGATTTTACTTCTGCCAGTCAGTCTATCTGTTTTGAAAAGCATCAAAATGCCCATCACTCCCTTATGATACACGCATAAAGAGTCAGTTGAATTGGCACACAGAGATTTCCTACGTACATATCTGCTGTGGGCCAAGTGCGTTGCAGCTGTCAAATTTTCTTTTGATGCTGATTACTTTCATCAGTGTAATTGATCAAGTTGTCTAGATAAAATGGGAGGCTAATCCTTGAGAAAGTAATCTTCAAATTGCACCCAAAATATTGCTGCTATGCAAAGGCAGCACACAGGTGTGCCATATTTTTCTCTTGTATTGCAATGGCAATGGCAATTTAAATAAGTGTCTCACTTTCCCACCTCTTCATGTCTCTCTCTCTGTCTATAAATGCTCTGAAATGTGGCCTCTTTTTACTGAAGATAAGGAATTTATGATACTTACTCTGTAGACTATTTGTCAATATTTGGGGCTTTTTTCAAATCACAGAATGGACACCATCAGTCCAAGCTGGTTTGTAAGCAGACAGGATGCCAAGGACACCTAAAGTTCTGTGCTGGAACCATGAATTTAGCTCCCTCCCCCCCACCTCCCAGATCACAGAAGCAGATAAAAGATTTCTTCCAGGAAGTAGCTTTGCTTATTTGTTTTCCTGTCTAGAATGGCATTCTTGCATTGATCAACCACAAGAGTCAAGCCTGTAGTTATTGTTCTAAAAGATGAATAGTAACTGTAATCTGTGAAGATCTGAAACATAAAATCAAATTTATTACCTTCCTCCAGATCATGGAAGAGAGGAAGCATATATATATGCGTATATATATAGATATAGCTAGCTAGCTAGCTAGCTATATCTACATCTATTTATCTGTCTATCTATATAGAGTCACAGCTGCTGAGACTAATTTAACAATCCCTACTTTGGCAAGACTTCCATTGTTTCCAGCCAGAAGATTACCTGGGTACAGTCTGCTAAGATCTGCGTACTGCTGAAGAGACATGCACTAATATTATAATTATAACATGCCTATGTCTCTGGCCAACTCAATGGTATTAATTGCTCTCTCTCTCTCCCACTCTCATTTTGGTTTTATTTGCATTTATTTTTTTCGGCTTCTGTCACAGAGTCCTGGAGACTGTTGTAGTGAAAGAGGTGCAAAAGAAATGCTGCAGTTAGGTTTAAAATATGATCTAGTGCCTTCTGTTCCTTACTGCCCAACCTTTTAGTCCTAAACATCAACATGGCTTCGGGGCAAGCAATCAACCAACCAAATAATGCTAAAGTTTTTATAAACAAGGATTAAGAGATTTAAAAAAAAAAGGGTTTTGGCAGCAAAGAATGTCTAAGGAGCATGCAAAATAGGGTTAGCTAATGCTCGGCGTGATTTCACCTAATGTTTGATGTTTCCATTGGTGTGCTGCAGCTATACGGGCTAATCTTACAGCCAGTCTGGATGAGGAATTCCTTGCTGAGCCTTGCAGGGTGGAAGAAAGCAGACTGTGTCCTTCATTTTTTTTTTCAATCTTTCAACAAACATAGATCCTCAAACACATTTCTGCCATTCTCTGCCTGTGCCTCAGTTTTTATCCTTGCTTTACACTTAGGATGTGGAGAGCTGATTCACTGGATTGCTTCAGGTTTTCATGGCCTTAACTCCACTGAAATCAGTGGGTTTACTCTGATGAACCACTTGAGTGGCCCAATGGCAAATTATAGTTTGTGCCCTACATTTGCAAGGGAGCAGAAATTTGAGGAACCCCTGTTTTGTACTCACGTGTTAGAGGAGACCGATTTGCAGAATGCAAGTACACAGTTCCTTTTGTAATCCAGGTCCCTTTTCTACTTCACTTTTCAAAACTGAGGCCAGCGCTTTGTCAAACTTGAGCTCTTTATGTCTTGTTTCAGCTCCATCTGGGAGAACCTCATGAAAGAAACTTTTAATTAAAAGAAGGAAAACAACAAAAATATTTATTGCAGTAAATAAAAAAAGTTAACCAAAATCTTTTATTGATACATTCTTGGATAATATCACAGGATTGAGGGAATGGAAAGGGTGGGAGGAGGTTTGCGGCAAAGATTGTTTTCACTAAATTGGCACATAAGCAGCAAGATTAACGAAATTACTTATTACAAACAGTATAAAACATACATGCTTTTTTTTTAAAGTCCTTATCACACTGGTCAATCATGATGGGGCATCAACAAAGAAAAACCTCAAGACATGTAAAAGCCATATTCTTTCTTCCAAATACCATAAGAATTATTGAAATTATTGCAAAATAGTCATATACCTTAACTGAAATAACAAAATAGAACACAAATACAAATATCAAACATAAATGATTAACATATACCATAAAATACATTACTGGCATGCATTCCAAATATCAAGACCTCTATTAAAACTCAGCAAAATCCTTTCTGTTTCCTCTGCAGCCCATCATTGTTATGAAAGGCGGGAAAGGTTGGGGTGGGAATGGGGCTCACTTCGCCAGCACAGTTTTTGGTCTTTTAAATATCTTTTTTTTTTTGTTTAATTAAAAAAATAACATACATGGATTGCAGTGATACAGTAATAATCATACAAGTCATGTACATAGTTTGTTTCAATCTTCAGAGAGATCTCTTTTAATGTGCTAACGTTTCAGAGAATAGGGCTTCAATGGAACTGTGCATTCAAAACAAACAGTGAACTGTTGAAACAACATGGATGGTAATATGCAAAATTCCTCACAAACTGTACAGAAAGTTCAAAAACTTGCAGTCTGGAAGTACATATAAAGACAGACTTAGCCCCTGTAAAGTCACTGTTGCTAAATGCAGTTCACCCATAAAGAGCTGGGTACTCATGTATCAGAGCTGGGAATTCAGGTATCATACCTCCCATACATGGAGAAGGTCCAAGGTCACAGCCTAAGTGGCAGTGCCAGTGACTTATTAAGCCAAGATTAATTAAGGATATTTCATATAGAAGCTGTTCAGAACACTTGGATCCTCTAACATTGGTCTCCATAATAACTGCCCGGCCTTCAACTCCTCCAGCTGTGGATACAGGTCAGGAAGAGGCCTAAGCCAGTTCGGGTGACTGAATGGATGAAAACCTTCATCCCTCCTTGTCTCCGTCTGATGAAACAGACTAAATAACCAGGTTATTATAACTGACATACTTCTTTTTTGCAGCAGGGCCTGAAAAAAAAACAGGAAGGTAGAAAGAGTCAGTAAACTAGTCACCTGAAATGCTCCTTTAAAAGGCTGGTACTATTTCCTAATTAGTTAACACAATGCCAAGAGAAGCTACAGTACATTAAATAACAGGATGAGCAGATGGTGACTCCTTTGCATAGATATCTTTACCAGTCAACTCCTTCCTCCTGGAAGACATCTGTTTATTGGTATTAATATGAGCAGACTACTGATTAGATCAACCTAAGCGGTGTCTCCAGTTCTGACTATAATGTAAACAAAATTACCATTGATTGATTTTTTTTTCATCGTTTTGCAGTCTGTATGTCTTCAGTACTGAGATGTTATGACTGGATTCAACCAAGTTTTTTTTTTCTCTCTTTCAAACCGTGACACTTTCTCCTACTTCTTAAGCCTGAGGGGATAAATTTGGTTTGCCCCATGGATAAGAAAAACATATATTTCCAAACCAAGAGTAATGACTTCTTGGAATTTTTATTGCTGGTGATCGGCCCTCTTAATTATGATTGCTGATTTATATCGCAGGTTGCAAAAACACATCTGCAGACAAGTACTTCTTGAATCCTACTTCATGCTTGTGTCAATTAAAATTGTGAACATTTAACATTCAGTTTCCAGGAATGTATTGTGCAATAACAACCATACTCAGGACAATAACATTTCATTTCAAAGAACATTCTTTATATTCAGGCTCCAGTTGCAATAAAAAATTATTTGTCAATTATATGTGAACAGTCTAGAAGTAACACATACTTTACATATTATTCTAATGTTATATATTGAATCATTTACAAGTGACTATACAAATGGCTGTTTTAGATGGTACATACTATCCTTGCGCATAACAGAGAACTAGGAACAGTTTTAGGAAACGTGTCTCTATATAGAAAACATTAAAAAACAACTTTGCAATAATGCATACAGATACCTACCCTAAAAATTAGGTTGAATGTTTTTCTGTATCCTTTGGCATATGAGTTTGAAATTCATTTTTAGTAATTGTTCATCCTACATATTCTAGGGTAATCATGTTCTTTGAGCAACTTGTATATAACGCAGGAGAAGGTATATTAAAATAGGCCAGCACTGAGAGTAACACATGCATGCTGAACCTATCTATCCAATAGGAATTAAATTTGTGGAATTAATTCATTCAGATCAAGACAAGTAAAGACCCAATTTAACATGTACGTGTTTTACAAATCGCTATTTAAGAATCTTAAATGTCACTTCACCATTTTGTATAATTATTATGAAACCGTATTTAGCTGCTTCAACATATCCTCTCAAAAGCAAAACTGTCTATTTGTTTGGGATTCCATCCTACAAAATACTGAGTCTCTTTAACTCCCACTAACTCCTCTGTGAGTGGAGGATGCTCCGAACCTCCAAGTTCTCTCAAGCTCGGTCTGTAAATATTTTATCGATTATTAAGGTCTTTTGAAAGTGGAAAAGTAATAAAATGTATTGGGTTGAAATGGGGTACTCAGGCAACAGATGTTGTGATGCACATCTTTGCTTGGTGCCAAAATGTTTTCAGGATTTCAAAGAGCAGTGGAGAACAATTGCATTAAACTAATAAAAATTAGGCAATTTAAATAATCCTCAAATCTTGATCTATACATTGCCATCCACTTCCAGTGTTTTATTTTTTCCCCAGGCCCCAGTGAAATAATCGTTTTCTCTGCTGTTGCAGCTTGGCTTTGATGAGTTCTCTAACTGTTCCATTTTTTGTTACATTGGTTGAATTTACCAGTGGAGAAGATGATGATACAGAGAAGATGAGACACACAACAGCACAACCATAGACTATGAGGTAGTCTTTGGCACCTCCTACATTTAAAGAGAATCACCTTTTTGGCAGCTGGCAAACATAGCATAATTTATACAGCTAAAATAACAAATTAAGAAATACTATGCATCTCTTGTTTCCAAGGAGGAAAGGAACTTTTCCTTGTTTCACAGATTGAAAAACTAGCTAGAATCATTAGGCAATCTACCTACCCTGGAGATCTTCAAAAGGAGACTGGATGCACACCTTGCTGGGGTTATTTGACCCCAGCAGTCTTTCCTGCCCAGAGCAGGGGGCTGGACCCCATGATCTCACGAGGTCCCTTCCAGCCCTAAACTTATGTGAATCGGTGAATCTAGTATTGCACAGAGACATAGGACCAAATGGGCCATAAAGTCCAGTCCTTGGCATGCACAGGAAACCATTTATCTAAGGAATCCGAAACAAGCCGTCGACTCCAAATCCTCATGTAATGTAGTCATGACACGTCTTATGAAAGAAGCAAAAGCACCCTACAATGGGCCATGGAAGGCCTGGAGACTACTAATTCTTTGCTGCACACAGAATGCCACAGCTCCTACTGAATCCAGTGACTCGTCTTCAGCTACAGTATATCATCCAGAAAACCATGCGGTTTTCATTTAAAAGACTTCAAGTCACAGGCTGTCCCTACTGGTAGAGATGATGCTCTCTTTACTTTTCCCTGTCATCAGAGAATTAGCTTAAGGAAGGTGGTGGGGATCCAATTTTCAAAGGAAGTAATTTCTATGAGCACAGCGTTTTCCAATGGCCAGTCAAAATTTACCCATCGTGACCCTTCCTTTATATGACAGAAAGAAGAGCATCTGAGAGAGAAATAGTGATGCTTGCTTATATACTTTATTGGCCATACAGCATGAAGGACACCAAGCTAGAACTAGGCCTATACTTGTGATCTGATCCTCTTATACTTAGTCTGAAAAGTAGGCACAACTGTGGTTATCTTAAGTGGAGGGCTGTTTGTTAATGATTGATAACCGTCCTCTACAGAAGAGTACAAGTTTCGGTGGGTAAATTAATATACATACATATTACATGTGACATTTAAGATAACTGTAACTTAAAGGCTATTATTTCATTAGTAGACAAGAACATTCATAAGTTAGGAAATGTCAGATTTACATTTGTTCCTATCTCTTCTATCCACTTCCCATGGTGCATAAGCACAACATCTTTAATTACATAATCACATACTATTTTTCCCCCATAGTTCCTTTCCTTTCTCAGCGCACAGGATGGATAATGCCCATTCATTGAGCAGCTATTTAAAAAGGAAAAAACAAAACTAAACTAAAGATAATAACTTCCTGTGTAAAATGCTAACTTAACAGAACCTGAGCTCCATCAAGACGTATTGGCAATCCATAGCAGAAACCCTGGGGACGTGTAAATCTCCCATTCTGTTTGTTTATACTATTATATTTCTAGTATTTTAAATAAGGTCTGAGAGGCAGGGTTAAGGTCCTCAAAGGCCCTCCCCTAAGTTATTACTTGGCTCAGCTAATTCTGTTTTAAGCCCTTGGCTATGACTGTGATATGGACACAAAATAAAAATATGTGCAAATATTATGGATTACAGTGTTCATTACCATTCACCTTATGGCATAACAAAACTAAACTTACACAAGTACACACACGGATATATAAAGAAATATAGTATGACCGTAGCTATGTTAGCCTTTGCTCAGGGATATACTGAGCTAGAACTGTCTCATCAAAATAAGAACCAATATAAATCATTGTCTAGAAAAAGAGAACATCTGTGAATTTAAAGACATCTGCTTTGGTAAAATACCTTAAATCCAATCAGACAGGAACAACTGGTAAGCAAGGTCCAGAAAGTAATAATAGAATGTTTAGATGACAATGGCTATAGGCAGAGTTGCAAGTAATGGATCATGCCTTTGGCTTTGTGCTTCCAGCTTTGTCAGTAAATAAAATTTACTCACAGTGTATCAAATCTTTAACACATCCATTTTTGTCAATATGGAGAGAGAAATAAAACAGTGAAAAAGATAAACTACAGGATCCATGTAAAGAACATAGACTGGCTAAAAAGAGAGAATTCCTGCTAAAGTTTTTTGTGTGTAGTGTTAATATATTAAAAGATAGGAGCATGTGCTAATAGAGGCCAGGAGCAGACATTACACTTTTACCAGTAAAAGTGATTGGAAACTGATCTAGAGCTGTAACAGAACAGAAGTTCAGCACACAAAACCAGTCTTTAACCGTAACAGAACAGAAGTTTGGCGCACACAGACTGATATAAAAATGTCAAAATCCAGTCTAAGACTGAATTTTGCCATTTTTATACCAGTCTATGTGCCCTCCCCCCATCCCCAGCAATCGGGGGGGAGATCCTCCATGGCTGATTTTGCTGACCGGGGGGAAGGGGTTCCCCCATAGCCAATTTCACTCACCGGCTTGTGGAAGTGGCCGCAGCACTCCCACTCCCTGGCCAGCACTTCCAGGCAGGGCACCAGTGCTCCCGCTGGACTCCCGTGCCCGTTGCTTAAGTGGGGAGTGCAGCCTGTCAGGAGGTGCACCAGTGCTCTCAGGCAGTCTCAGGGGATATAAGACCAGGGGCGTCACCACCTCCCTTCCCCACAATGGCAAATGTGTGTTCTGTTCACTACCAATCTAAACTACACCACTTACAAAAAACCACATAACTTAGATCTGCTTTGAGCTTTTTGAATTTCTGTACCTAGACAGAAATAATTTGCAGTTCTATAGCATCTTTTATTCAACAAGCTCAATTGCTTAACAAATATCAATTAACCTTATGCATGCACACTTACCTGGGTAGTGACAATTTTGTGCGTGTCTACACATATCAATATTGTTCTGGTTTCAGTTTACAAATGTCAAAACAATGTTAACAGTCTTTTAAGTGAGCAGGTAGTTCTTAATTCATTTCCCAACCAACATACTTCCATGTCATAAAATCTGACCTGAACTGGTACACTTAGCAAGAGCATCAGTGGAAAAGATAAGACTATGTAGACAGTGGGCACTGTCCTTTCATCCATACCATGCCCTGGATGAGGCACGTGGTCTACGGAAACAACCAGATTCATGACCTATCTCATAAATGAAAGATTTCCTTTATCCTAAACATAACCTAAAATGATTTGGTGTATTGCTAGTT